CATATAATGCACTGTATGTTTCAGAAATTGCACATTTAATGTACATAACGTGTGCTTTTGAAACTGCTTTAAATCAGAGTGCAGTGTCTCCTTGGTGTAAAATATTTTCATTAAATGATTTCAAGGTGAGATTTAAAATAATTTTTTTTATACAGATGGAAAGATTTAATCGCGCATTCAATTCTAAATTTATTTTACAGGTCTTTGAATATATAGAAGATTTAGAATTGTATTGGATCGACGGATATGGCTATTCATTAACTTACGAGCAAGCGTGCGCAGTCTTAAAAGACATGTTTGACTCCTTCGGGTATGCACATTTATATATACATACATTGCAATAATAAATCTAATATAAAGTCTTGTATTTTCAATATAAATGTCAGTATAAATTCTTGCATTTTCTCACACTGCAATCTTTTATTGGATTATAAAATCAAGAAAATGCATAAATCTTTTTTATCATAGATTTAAATTAAAGAAAACACTTCAACCAATACTGTTTTTAATTTTAGAAATTTGCAGAATCAAATATTGTCTAATTGTAAATATCTTCGCAAATTAAATATAATTAAATTGTTAACGCAGTATATTAAAAGAATGTTATTTCTCAGATCCAAAAAAGGGGCGATGACTACAGCTTATTTTACACATTCCGGCACGATTTTGAAATTAATAGCCTTACTCGGACTAGCCAAAGATGCGCATCCTTTGACGCACGATTCCTTCATATTACGCAAAAAGGAAGACAAAAGAGCTTGGAGGAGCAGTATTATTGACACGTTTGCATCTAACATGGCATTCGTCTTGTACGAGTATGTGCCCTTTTCCAAATGAAATCATACATATGCGTATACTGTCATATACATATAATTATCTAATTATTCTCTTTTTAGTTGCGAATATTACGGGCCCAGTGTTTTATTCATGCTTCAGGAACGACCGCTATATTTGCCAGGCTGTCCGAAAGATAGGCCATGTCCATTAGATACTATGAGGGCGATTTATCCAGATCGCAATGAAGAATGCCAGTTTGATGCTATGTGCCATACAACAAAACAAGACAATTGACGCCAAAAAAATATTTTTGCAGTAACGCCATATACGTATGCGTTCTTCTATTTGTTTACATATCTAAATAAAAATACGTGACAATTTAGTTTTCGAAAAAAGATATTTTTCTAAGAAAAGTTCGACTGAAACGTACCTGGTTCGTTTTTTTGATGAATTCAGAATCTGTTTTTTAAAATGTACAGTAAAAGAGATCGAGATTTATTTTTGTGTATATCTCTATGTACATAATTATTAATAAAGGATTCAATCATCACATTAGGTTTCTTTTTATTTATATACAGTGATAAATGTTTCTAGTATCAAGTGGAATTAAATGAAATTTTTTTTCCGCATGCAGTAATATACTCGTCCATAGAAATAATAGGAATAAATTGATATAAAATATATATTGAATAATGAATAACGATTCAATCTAAATCTATATGACTAAATGATTACAAGAAAGAAACGATGCAAATGAGCAAGTTTTTATGTAAAATTGTTGAAAGCATCTAAGCTTTTACAATAAAATACTTCGACGAGGCAAGTTATAAATATTGCATTTAGCCTTTCTCTCTCGCTTTACTACATCGTTTGAAAATATTTATATCTAGTGATGGAAAATTTTTTACATCGTTCTTTTTTTAACGCTAATTTGCTGGTGAAAATATTCTCTTTCTCTTTTTCGTGTATATACATTATTCTATAGTCATTCTAAAATCTCTCTTAGTATTATATTTTAAACTTGTATTATATACATATTACAGAAAAATAATCTTATTTAAAATAGAGCACTTAATAGTTAAAATCTACAAAAGTTTACGATCCTTGTGTAAAATTGTTGTGAAAAAGAAGGCACGATATATGTTGTAAGAATTAGATTTACATCGGCTTTTGAGACAGCTCGGTTGTTTTTAACAATTTTACATAGAGACTCGATAATTAATCTAATCGCGTACCTTTCTTATAACTTTAAAAAATCTCTTAAATCTTAAAGGACACTGTCTTCTAATGAATTATTTATATCGTTTCTGTCATCGCCTATCATGTCCTGCAATAAAACACATAACATAGTTATAAAATAATAATTGGTACTGAATATAGTATCAACATAATATATGTAGATATAATATTACCTGCAGCACTTCAACAAGTGCTTTTGTCTCATCCAACATTTCTTTGTAAATACGTTTTTCTTCCTCTAACTTTTTGACACGTTCTGCGAGTTCTTTATTTTCTTCTAAAGCATCCTTAAGTGCTACTCGTCTTCTTTCGGCCAGGACTTGCCAGTAATTTTCACTAGGACCGGCTAAATCTGAAAGAAATATTTTAAAATAGAAAATAGATATTTTTTACACAGTCTAGTATTCAAACATACACGTAAAAAAAAAGAAAATAAGAATATTTTAAAAATGTACTTGTGCATGTTAAATCCTCAACTTCAATTTCCCTCTTTTCCTCTGATACAGTTTGAACAGCCTTGTTATTAATTGTCACATTTATTTGTTTTTTTACATCTTTCTCTTTTTTCTTTTTTGTAGATACATTCCTAAAATATACATAGATTTAGTGCATTCAACCTTTTCCATAAAATATTTTCATCTTTCAAATAATTTTATAAGAAATAACTTCTCCATGTATTCTAATCAGGCATCTCAAGGATATAAATGTAATTATAAATATTTTCTGCAATTTCTTTACAATCAAACGAAAACACAGAAGTGGAAATGAGAAGACTTACTTTTTTGATTTTGTTTCTTTTGCTTGTTGAGTAGATTTGATCATTCTATCAGCACCAACCAAAGTTTCTTTATCAGTAGCCGAGGGTTGTAGTTCATGTAAAGATTTTCTAACTTTATCCTGCTTTAATAAAAGAAATAATTATGATATACTTGTAGACTATTTCATTAATATATTTTATTAATTTAGATATTTTTTGCTTCTATTTTTTAAACATATCTGAAATTATTTTTTATAGATTTTGTTTGCAGTATATTATTTTTTTCCAAGAAAAATATGTAATATTATGTACAATAATGAACAGTGGTATTTTAAATTTATTATTATTAAATATGAACTTTTTAATGCAACAAATTATGTATAGTAATAAACAAAAATACAGTGAATTTATAATAAATTATGCAAAATATTCTCTATATTAGATATATTTTCAATCCAAGGCAAAATGCAATACAATTTTCTATGATAATAATTAACTGTATATGATTTATTGAACACACACACAGCTATTTTTTATTAACAAAATTAAACCGAAATCTAGTATTCTGGAAGTTTTTATACTAATGATTTTCTGCTTAAAATTTCCTCTCGACATTTATTGTAAACACAATTGAACAAGAAACGACCTTCCGATCGTGTGTACTTGGAGAAATATATACTCGAGAATTAAATAAGTTATAAAAACATTCTTTTCTATTTCTTGTCGTTATTGGTCGAACGAAGATATTTATACAGCAAAATCATATATTGTAACATCACTTTTCTCGAGAGTTTCGCGTGAAAAGAGAAATAAATGCTATCCGTACTTATACAAACACTAACCTCAGAAGCAATCGTTTCAGCACTAATAACCGGTTTCATCCTACAAGGTAATTATCCACAAAGGTAATTATTCAAGATTTGAAGAGGAACGTAGCGCTCAATTGGCTTACAAAAAGACAGCTCATATATATATTTTTCACGAATAATACGGCGTCGCGATGCGAATACTATCTTTTGAACGAAGTTTCAGTTACACATAACTTTCTGATTGGTAATCATGCGGTTCTCGAAAGCAGAGAGAAGCGTGAGAGAGGCCACGCCGGCTTTTTGGGTGGACCGACGATTCTCCTCCGTACACTAGCGCCCCACGTCCACGTTTTCAAAAAAGGAACTACGTAC